ATTGCGGCCTTTTGGATCAGCTGGATGAAAAAATTCGTGTGGTTTGCGCCACAAAAAATCCTTTTTTTATCGAAAGATCACAAAGATGTTTTGACAATGACAAAATTCAACGAATTAAAATACGAATTGCTTGAGCATCCACCGTATTCACCAGATTTGGCTCCCAGCAACTACTACCTCTTCAGAAACCTGAAATAATTCTTTCAAGGGATGGCATAAAATTAGTGGAGAATCACTGAAATAAATGTATTGAAGTTAAGGGAGATTATATTGAATAAAAAAATATATTTTGTACCAAAAACAGTATTTTTTTAATTTCGAGCGCAGAAACTTTTCAACCAACCTGTACACTCTGTAATTCTTGTCGAAGTTTCAATTTTTTTTAATATACAGCTCTACCAGATTCTCTTCCATGTTATCTTGTTCGGAAGTTCATGTGCGTATATGTATCCTGCGCTGTACTTGTTAATTACGTTCTAATTGCTAATCATTGCGTCGACATTACCAAGATTACCGTTAATTGGTCTAATTGAATTGTAAATGTTAACATTGCAGCAAAACACTTCGTCAGCCTCCGTCATTATCCGTCGTTCTACTTTTGTTTTCTTTATTTTCCTTTTCATCTTCTTACTTCGGTTTCAATGGTTTTTTTGTTTGTTTTTTGTTTAATGCTTCATTTTGTGCTATTTCCTTCATTTACCGCACTTAAGCCACTCCACCTACCACTCCTCATCCCCCCTTTTCGCTAATCGGTCGGCCTGTTTTGACTCGTAACAGCCGTACTGGCGGCTGTTGATAATGGAATGAGCTCTAAAACCCTCAAAAATGCCAATAAAACCGTCAATTAAGACGAAACCGAGCACTTCGTGTACTTAAGGCGGCCATTGTTCACACAATTTAACGGTCATTGGCTGACGGCACTTAACCGACGAACAGAAGCGTTTAAATGGATTAAATTTCCAACATAAACTTTTCACTTAAACAACTCGCCAGCAGCAGCGCAGCTACTCCTGCGACGACAAAGTCCTTTCCCTGCTTCTTGGCTCCCCGCCTAGGCAGGTGACGCTTGCTGTGTGCCAAAGTTTCAACATTCAACAAATTGTCTCCACTTCCGCTGGCAACGGACAAGGACACCAGGAATGCAAGTGTTTGGCCAACAACAACAACTGAAGCATTGGCAATCAACTTGTTAAAGCAATGAATGTGAAAAACACCAGCAGCAACAACAAAAACAACAACTTTAACAAAGTCAATAAGGACAAGTGCGAGGACGTCGGCGACGAGTGCATAAATCAAAAATTCCTCTACACATTCTTGTGCTCATAAACTGTGACTTAACTGCTGGCGCCGAACAAGTGTGCATGTATTAGAGGTTGCACACACACACGCAAAAACACACGCTTAATAAAAATATTTGGCAGCGTTTATGTGTTGGTGTGACTGGACGCAGTCTAGCAGCCAGCAACTCCTACGAATCTCAAGCAAATAAATAAGTCAACTTCCATCCACACACACACACACACGCAAGTATAGAGTGCAAGTGTAGGTGTGTCTATAGGTGTGCGTCACAGAGAAAAATTCTGCAAATTTGTTAGCTTGAAAAAAGCGTATAAACTACAAGAATGTGTAAGAATTGTTACATGACATAGTTTGCCAACGTTGCCCTTAATATTGTTGTTGCTGTTGTACGCAAGCATCCGGCGCACATCATGTTCCCAAATGCATATATTTATTTGCAACTACAGAAAATCGAAAAAGAAAAAACCTATGTAAAATACGCTCGTTAAGTATTTAGACACAATACAGAACGTGTCCTGGCCTCTCATTTATTTTGTGGCACAACATGTGAGTGGCCGCATGAGCAGCAGCTTTCACTAAATTATGCACAAGCACGCGCTGTTACACAAAAATACCCATTTACATAGGAGTTACTGGGGAATTCCTTTTAACTGCTTCGGCGCCATACAAGTCATGTGACTTTCTAGCGGCGAGTGTCTTTAAGATTGAACTTTCTTCAAATTGCCAAAAAAAAAGTGCAAGTATAACGGTACTATGACGCACACTCTTAAACTGTATTAATTAAGAAAAATCGTCTTTATTTTGTCTCCAGTTATCAGTGGAATTCAAAAAAAAAAGTCAATGAAAAACTCTTAAGTTCACGCTGATCTTTCTCCATAAAAACCGCAACGCTTCCATTTGAGCGGTGAGTGAAGTGAAGTTAAAGCGTTTGTACCGCGGCCACGATTTATTCGCCGCAAAGCGCTGCTAATTAACATGTTGAGCAGCTACTTTCACCCAATAACGGTAAGTGGCAGAAGTCTCCCCAAAAAACGAGCGGAGTAATTATAGCAACATTTAAATGAGTTTGCAGCAGAGCACTCGCGTCTTGGCCACTCAGAAGGGCCACTAGTGCGCGAAAGGAACTCATTAGAACGCTTAGTGGCCACTTGGTGGAGCGCGTAAAGAATACGAGCAGTGGCCAACTTCATTTCATTTATTTATATTTATTTAAATTTTTTAAGCTTGTGAAGGATTTTCGAAGAATGTTGCGAAAACTCATTAAGACATTCTTTTAATGTTACTATTTGTATTTTCGTCTAAGTCCGTGGCGTATTTTCTAGTATATGGTAAGTAGAATATTAAAAAAGCTTCATTATGATTATTGTGTATTTATATTAAACTGAAACCAAATTATGTCACGTTATGGTAGGTTAAGTCAAGGGTAGGAATAAGAGAAAAAGTTTAAAATAAAACCTTTGAGGAACAGCAGATCAGACAATAAAAAGAATATATACAAACCTCAATTGCGGCAACATATTAAATATAGCTTTGTGAAGCTTTATCGAAGCTTTCGAAAAATCAATATAAATGTATTAGCGATTTTGAACAAAACAAAGTAGCTAGCAGCAAAATATATCGTTCAATTAACTTAAAATTTAAGAGTGTTTGAGGCAATTGAAATCTACGTTGTTTACATTTAGGGTCAATCTAAATTGTTTACATCTAGGGTCAATGACTCTTTTGTTTACATTTTATGGGGTCAATGACCTTATTGTTTACATTTTGCCAAGGTCAATAAACCTTTTGTTTACATTTAGCCAAGTCCACAACCTTTTTCTATATTGAGCTAAGTCCACAACCTATTTTCGATTTAGCGAAGTCAACAACCTTTGTTTACATTTAGGGTCAGTGACCCTTTTGTTTACATTTTATGGGGTCAATGACCCTTTTGTTTACATTATGAGGTCAATGACCTTATTGTTTACATTTCATGAGGTCAATGAACCTTTTGTTTACATTTAGCCAAGTCCACAACCTTTTTCTTAATTTAGCCAAGTCCACAACCTATTTTCGATTTAGCCAAGTCCCCAACCATTTTTTTTCATTTAGCGAAGTCAACAACCTTTGTTTACATTTAGGGTCAGTAACCCTTTTGTTTACATTTTATGGGGTCAATGACCCCTTTGTTTACATTATGAGGTCAGTGACCTTATTGCTTACGTTTTTCTAAGATCAATGACCCTTTTGTTTACATTTTATGAGGTCAATGAACCTTTTGTTTACATTTAGCCAAGTCCACAACTTATTTAAGATTTAGCGAAGTCAACAAACTTTGTTAACAATGGAATGACCCTTTTTTTTACATTTTATGGAGTCATTTGTAAATTGTTCAAATTGGACTCTGTAGCATATAGTTGTTAGTTTGTAGCAGCTATATACTATAGTGGTCCGATCTGAATAATTTCTTCAGAGATTGCAGCAAAAAAAAATCGAGAATGGATTGCAGTTATGACGATTATTGGCGTTGTGTGGGCATGGCAGTGGTGGGGTTGCGTCTATTTACAAAAATGAACCTCTTATGGTGCCAAAAACAATCGGATTTCGACACGTCTCATCATCCTGATCCTTTATATATATATATATATATATGTATATATATATAACTCTACATCTAACTCGATTAGTATTATCTGATAGAAACAACCGTTAGATGAACAAAAAATTATACTCTGTAGCAACATGTTGCAAGAGTATAAAACTGAGGGTTTAACTGCAGCTACCCTGAGATTGGGGGATCTTATAAAAGTGCTCTCGCTGGAAATAGTAATATTGCATATACCAAATGGTTAGTACAGTGTTCAGATAAGATTGAAGTAGTTTAAACTAACGCATTTCAATATCTGGGAATTTTGGGCACATATTATATATTTATATATTATATATCTATATGTATATGTGACCGAAGGCTGTACGATGAGCAGATAATTTTCCAATTGAAATTGCTTCGCTCGAAATTCAAGAGTTTAAATATGTAAAATAAGTATATTTATAAAACATTTTACACGCTTAGTGCTTTTGGACCGGAAACGGAAGTGTGTTGCCTGAATCAAAAGTTAAAGCATAATTCAGTCGTTCGAATAATATAATATTTGCAATGTGAATGTCCAACAACAACTACATCTAAACAAACTAGATAAAGGCACTGAAATGAATACTTGGATGTGAGCTAGTTTGTACATGTGTGCCCTCAAAACGGCATTTCACTTAAACTCGTTGCAAATTGTTAAATTTTTTAAGTGCTATGTACTCCTTATTCCTTGTACTGTCTCTGAATGGAAATTATTACCCGCTCAATTACAACAATGCGCTGAACATAGTAATGGAAAATACATGTACTTCTGGTCTAATGCACCACGCCTTAAGTAAAGGGATTTTCACTTCAAAATGAAATAAATTCAAATAAGGACAAGTCACAATCTTTAGCTATAGCTTGTCATTAACGACAGCAATCTTAAGGTACATATATATTGTATTTGAGTAATCTAGAGAGGCGTTATTTACACGAGAGGAAAGGTAATTAGGAAGACGAACAAAATCGTTAGAACTTGCATAAGAGAGCCCTCTATGAGACTGTGTACTCGAAGAATTCAATAAATTTACAAATTAAAAAGAATATAAAAGTTAAATTTAAATGCCATTTCAAAATTCGCTTAAAGATACGTGTGTCAAAAGGTTCGAGGTTATGATAAGTTCTATTGAAAAACAAAAATTCGAATATATGTTATCGGCGGTTTTGATGGCATGAAAAATAAAAGTTTGTTAAAATTGCTCACCAATTTTGAAGAACTAGTATATCTTTTTTTTACTGTATTTACAAGATGCTGACCAAACTATAAAAGGCGTTTTTATAGTTTTTATGTCGAGTTCCTGAAAGCAGTTATAAAATCCAAGTAAAGTAAAGAAAAGAACTATCTCTGGTACATCTGCGATATATACGATATAAAGACAACTGAAATTGTAATTGCAGCTATATCTGCCCGGCTATTTGTTATCCACGTAAACATTTCTTTAGCACGTCTGGGAACAAACTGTGGCTCATAAGAGGAGAATTTGAGCGTGGAGTACAATCTTTGGATAGAAAGACCCAAAATTAAATCGATCAAATTCTAGACGGGGAAACAATATGAGTACCACAAATAGAGTTTTCTTGACGATGACACGTTAAGAATGCGAATATGCATAGTAAAGAGTCCCAGCATAGTAAGCAGAAAGAAGAGAGAACTGCCATTTCGATACAACGTTAAAAACCAAATGGATTTAAGCGAGATTAACCCTTTGCTCGACAGTCTGATTTACGTAAACGAGACGAAACCGGATGTTTATCCGTCTAAGGACTGCTACAACAACAACAACAACCGAGAAATTGTAAGAACTAATAACCCGCGAAGTGTTAAGTTACGCTCTCTACATAGCGTAGCAAAGATTGGTAGCAACGCGAGCTACATATAAGAGAGAATTGGAAAAGAAAGCGACCTGCATTTGGGCAACTAAACTTGAAAGAACGAAAAGACGATATGAAATTTAAAGGGTAACCGGAAGCTCGACCAGATGTGTAACAACTCTGGAATGTTTTTATGAATGAAAAGATGCTGCTTCTCCAATCTTCTGATAATTTGTCTTCATTGAAAGCATTCGTTCATTTATTGTTGTTGCACTAGTTAGACTATAAAGTATATGATTGTGGCCATCTCATTCTCATACCGACTAAACGGTGTCGCTCGCAATTGGTTGCATCATTAGATGAACAAATTAATACATATACATATGTATATACCATACATAGGTATGTATGTACCTGTATCTATGCATTTTCGCCACCGAGCTGCTGCCGAGCTCTGCCATATTTACTATAATTACCAGGAAACATTAAACTTGCGCCGTTTGATATACATACTTACATAATTATGCTATATTATTTGTATCGTTCTGGTTATGTAATTTGTTGTCTCTCGAATGGGCAGTAGCCGGAATGGACCCGGATTTTTATCCGGCCAAGTACTGTCAACTCGGCACCATTCCTCGAAATTACTTCAGGAATGTTGTTGTTGTAACTGTTATCTACTCCCGCTTGGGAGGTAAGTTTCACTTTGGTTGTCGTCGAGGTCATCTAACAGAAGGCCTAGGAAACGAGCTGTTTCGGCGGGGTCGGACCATAGGATAAGGGTGTTAGATGAGTGGGGCTCGTTGAACATGCAAAGAGGTGGTTAGTTTTAGTTTTACTTCAGGAATGTTTTCTGCTCTGCTACTGCAACAACAACAAATACTACGCTTATAAATAACCGAAATGAAAATCCAATCAAGTCGAAACTCATTCTGCACTCTATATTCAACAGTGTAAAGTGGTCGGGCTTTCGCCAGCGTGCATATATTCCTCATTCAAAAGCCGTTATACCATTTAGTTCAACTTAACATTTTCAACTTTATTTCTGAATGAAAATGAAAATAACTGAGCTGGCGCATGCCGTTGGTGTACTAGCATAATTGTTGTTTTTATAATAATTTGCAGTTTTTATTTGTTTGTGTGTTTATTTGTTTTACTTTTTACAACTTTAACTATTAATGCGCATTGAGTTATTTGTTATGCATTTTCGACATTTTCTTCCTCATATATTCCATTACCAGCTCCCATCGTGGCCAGCCAGAGGCATTTCATTTCTGGCAAAATTAACAACTAAAGGCAAACTACAATAAAAATAAACACATTTCGGCACTTGCAAATACAGTAAATTAAGTTGATATTTAAAAGCATAGAAATGCACATATCAGTATTTTGCATAGTTCGCAATAGCAATTATATTTATTAAATGAACTTTTGTTTTTGTTTTTATATTTGTTAAGCAGGTTTGGCAATCAAACAAATGCAAATCATTTGTACTAATTTTTGGTTTGACACTCTCAAACAACAAAAATGAATGTGTTTACACAACATGACAAAGTAGCAATTAAGCATATACTCGGTTTAATTTTCAAACATAACTAATTACATACATAACTGTCGTCTACTGCCAGTTGAGTAGTGAACTGGTTGCTGCCTTCTCTTCATATTGTCCGTGAACAACTCTTTAGAGCAGTCAGACCACGCAGATAATGATATATCCTATGTAAGTATAATTCTATATTTCATTTATTTTTTCTTAACAATAAATTTGAATGGATTTAATTTAAATTTTGCTGTTAAAAGTAAAATTTCTTCAAACAATTAAAAGGCAAAATTCGGTTTTGTTTATAACAAATAGTTTAACTACAAAAAAAGGAGTTTGTAAAACAAATTCAATTAACTGTAACAACAATGACGTTTATTGCAAAAATTGGGCAGAGCATTAGCATTGTTTGCGCCAATTCTCGTACCGCTGCTCTTCTGAAATTGTTAATTCTTTTCCATTTTATGCTGTCGCTCGTTGCTGTTAATAGTGAAAATCTACTTGAAAGTGTTTTTGTAGAGTTGCACATTAGTGAATTTTTGACAAGTAGAACGGCTATTTAAATTTAATATTCACGGTTGCAATTTAAATGTCGTTCAAAGTTGACAAATGAGACACTAATATTTCACCGTTATCGAAAGTCTTCTCTACGGAAGAAGTAAAACTACGAATTGTAAATGTAAGTGTTCTGAATAGTCATTGTTCTCGTAAATAAAAGTTGTAGTCTTTGATAAATGTATATTTGTTTTGATATTTAATCATTTTCTGCCAGCCCTTCTACTGTTGTTATGTTGTTACTACTGTAATTGTTGTTATACTAAACTCTCCGCCTTTAACTCTGCAACTGTTGCTGCAGTTACAGACTCTGCTTCCTTTACACCTATTAACTGAGAAGCTAATTATCCAATTATCAAGCCGCAACCGAGTCTAAATTGATTTTTGGTATGATTCAAACGTCCGCTCAAAGCAAAGGAAAACGGAAGCGGTTGTAACCGTTTCTCCAACACACCGCACACATTCCAATTGGAATCGAATGAACCTATGATTACAACCAAAAAATTAGAAATTATACATTTAGAAATATATGGTGATTTATATTAAATGCGATTTTACCTCTGAAAACGAGATCAGCCTTCGGCAAATCAACCTGATAACCAATCGTTGCAACAGCCTCCTGCATTCTTAGACTAGTTTCTACTTCAACACCAATTTGCAGTTGTTCACTGGCCTTTTGATAATAGCAGATATGAATGCCACCAGGTCCCAATGTACCCGACCACACAGAATCGGCTTGTGTGTAACGACCAACTGCTGATACCACAGCTATTTGGCCGCCGGGTACATTAGGACCATATTGGTACGCAAGCTCTGCGCCAAGGGCGATGTGATCAGTTACTGACTGTAAATAGTGACCAACAAAGACGCCAGAGTTATTAAAAATATTTGGATTGCCAACGGTTAGGGAGGCTGTGTAGTCGTCACCACGGTAATCAGTAGTTAACTGGGCAGCTGTGAGTTTAGAATCTTGAATCTGTGAAACAAAGATGAAAATTAAATTGCATCAAAAAAAAATAAGTAATAACTGAGTGGAAAGCAATTTAACAGAATCAAATCAGTATTCACTTACTTGCGAGGCGAATTTACAACGAATGCGCGGAGTGAATTGGTGTATAACATTGGCGTTTAGATTTCCGGAAGGATCAATGTCACCCAGCAGAACTGGGAAAGCTTCTGACGGACCGAACTGTTTGGTACCTACATAAGTAGCACCAAAGCGGTACCCACTTGGTTGTGTACTGCAGAGGTTTAAAGTGTGCGAAACTTGAAAATGATTACTTAAACCTTTATTCAGCATAATTTTCGCACCTTCAAAGGTCATAGCTTGAATATCTACAAAGTAGCAAAAGATAAACATATCATATCGCATTAATAAACTTATAATTTTCTACATAAAATAGCAAATGAAGTGTGAGGGGTTTGTTTGATGTATGTGAAGCAGCGTGCAGCACTTGTGCGCTGTCATTTCCACCACCACAACGAATAACATGAAAACACCATTCTTTCACATGCGTTTGGGTTATGTCATCACTTGTAGTGGAATAAAACCGGTGATTTGAAAGAACACACACGCTCACCTTTACATTTCTTATGCAGTTCTTCAACAGTTCCAGGATTTTCAAGCTTTTGTTCTTTTAAATCTTCTCCGACGGCGGCAGAAGGCGCAACAGACGTCGCTGAAGTAGCTGACGGGCTCTGCGATGGATTTGACAATTCCGGTAATCCCAATTTGGCAGCATCCAGCGATGAGCTAGAGCTAGACGATGCGGCCAAAACATTCCCCATATTTATTTGCGCACTTAAGTTTCTCAATTTAAACACTTTTTTCTGCAATTTATTACGCTTTTTATACAGGTATTATTCAAATCTTTCCCGAATTTCGAAACAAAAAGTGGGAAAGTTCACAAATTTTCCGACGAAAAGAACGAAAAAGTGCAATGACGTTAGTTTTGACAGTTGGGTGAATTTCCACCACGTGTGTGTTGAGTTTCAGAGATAACACTTTTCAAATTCTTATCTCCAGCTTTTAATCATAAGAGTTACCAGAAATATTTACTTAAATAAAAAATATATATATACCAGTATACGTGAATAATGCTGTATTAAATCAAGTTCGATTTAACTACGAATATTTAAAATTATTACATTTTTAAGTCTATATTTTCGAGAAAACAATTAGTTAATGAAAACGGAGCGGCTTTTAATACCAGGAAATTTGGTGAGGCATTGGCAACCCTTAATATTGTTATATCTTTTGTTTGACATACGTCAACATTGTCTGATGTCGAGCTTATTTATTCTATTTTATTGTTTTGTAGCAACATAGACAAAAGAAAAGTAAAACAATTTTTTTCTGAAATGTATTCAAGCAGATGAATATTGTTATAAAATGCCAAGTTTTAAAACAGGACATATATAGTTATGTAATCTGTAAGTGTCCCAAATCAAAATAGAATTAACAGCTTCAGCAACTATTAAATCGTTGGCAGCATCCTGTAAATTTATATAAAGGGACAATCACTTCCTAACAAACATTTTTTGGTTATTGCTTAAACCTTGGAACGCAAAAGGGAATAGGTGGTTATGAATTTGCAGTCATTTTTTAGGGATTTTAATCCCAGGTAAGCAAATGTTTCGTGACATTAACTTAATATTATTCATGCGTGTTCAAGGTTGTGAAGAATGGGTTTGAGCGCAAAGTAATACACAAAATAATAAAATGTAATAATAGTATTAGTAATTTACTAAAACCAATAATTTGCTCTAAAAGAAATGGCTTTGAGATATTTCTGAGCTCATACCCATTTAAAAGGCACACTCCTGTATTCATAAATATAGATACTACCATATATCTTAAAACACTAATGTTGTTTGTTTATTTTATTCATTCAGCAAATTCGTAGTGCACTGCAGCTTGCTTGGATTTATAATATTGTTTGCTCTTCGCTTAGATGGTGGTATTGGTAAGGTTTTCAAATTTCTTTCATTGAATGACACAATTTTCAACAATTTCTCTTAGATTGGCCATATTGGGCCATTTTTATGCCATTATGGATATGGAAAGGGATCGCCATTTTGGGTGCCGCAGTCGGTGCTGTAGTTTGGTGCCGTTACCCGCATTATCGGTAGTGCGATACTTTTGGCTTATCAAATCAGATTTTAATATAAAATTCTCTTTTTTTATTTTAGACTTGAAGGTGATTCGTATACCCAATTCAAGGCAATGCTGATATCTCTCTCACTGCATCTTATTTTACTAATGTTTGAATTGCTCGCTTGCGACAAATTAAGCTCTGGCCGTCATCTCTGGGTGCTTGTTTTCATACCATTAATATTTGGTTCGGTGGCCAGTGTCGGAGCTTGTGTGTGGGCTGTTAAACACGATCGTTCTTTTGAGTTAGAGCTATTTTTGGCGGTTAACGCATTGCAATTTGTGTCGTTGCCTCTTAAATTAGACCAATTCGTCAACTGGAATTGGGAAGTGGTGTTTGTCCCAATGTGGATAGTTATTTGTTTGAGCTTAGTTAGTAAGTAAACGGAATAATTTTGCTGCTAGCTCTTTATTAAACCACTTCTATAGGTGTTCTATACAATGTAATATTTTGCGGCATTATGATGCGTGCACCCGAAATATCTTTACAGCAAAAGCGTGCTGCCTTGAATGCAGCCGTGGGAAATATTTGCACAGTACTTCCTTTGCTGTGTTTTCAGGTATGAATTATAACAAATTTAACTTTTATGATACATGCGATAATCTAATATTATTTTCAGGTGGTGATTTGTGATAAACTGGAAGGAGAACTAAAGTTTCCTTATATGATTGTTTTCAGTCCTTTAATGATTTCACTATCTGCATTAATTGGATTAAGTTTTAGTGCAAAAGGTGGAAACAAATGGTGGTTCGGAATACGCAAATCCTTCCACCAGTTTCTATTATCGGCAATGCCTTTTCTACAGGAATATGGCAATATATCTTATCATGTGGATCGGTCGGCCGCAGCGCAGTCTGTTCCTTTGGATGCTTCTACTAGCAATGTACATACAGAAGACTTCAACAAGCACGATAAAAAGAGCAAAAAGGGTGCAAAGAATGATAGCATGAAACCGGTGATGCCCATAATCAGTATTGACATGCCTGACTAATCGTTTTGCTATATTTTAAGCTCATAAATAAATATGAGTCTACTTACATATATATAGCTTAAGATAACTGAAACTATTAGAATTTAGAATGTATGCGTACAAGTGCACACAATTATATTGCGATATCATTTCATTTGAGCTTGTCGATTCAGTCAAACATATACTATATAATTAAAATACTTCCGTATTTCATAAATTCAACATAAAAATTCTTTAATTTACTGACTAGTTTAAAATGCGCAATATTTTGGGCATCAATCATTTTTAGCAAATTATCTCGTTTATCTCACTTTTATTAGTAACTGTATAATTTCTAGGTTAAAAAAAAAAGTAAATAAAATCTCTTAAGGCAAGAGTTTTAGATGTTTTTCAGCTAAGTATTTATTAGGGTTTGTTAGCAATATATGTACAATTGCATTTGTAAATAAACACATTAAATCACATACAAAAGTTTTATATGATTTCAGCGTTTTTTTTTTTGTTTAACTTTCTTATAAGAAAAAACATATAAAAATTCTTCTATTAATCAATTAAGTTGATATTTCCAAGTGAAAAAAGGGACCCGTTAAATTATTTTGACTTTTTCATAATCCGCAACTTTTAAAAGTGTGCAAAACGAAAACAGAACAACGTTAATATATATGCTTTATAAAAAGTGTTACAGTGATCGAATTTAGTTAAAATATGCACCGTTTTGTTCGATGATCTGTTTCCATCTAGACGGCAACTTCATAATACCTTCCTCGTAGAAGCCCTCCTCCTTATTTGCGAAGAATTCGGACAGCCACTTTTCACAAGCCTCTTTTGAGTTCAACTTCACACCACCAAGGCCATTCGCCATGGACAGGAACAGGTGGTAATCACTTGGCGCTACGTCCGGGCTATATGGTGGATGCGATAAAACCTCCCATCCGAGCTCCCGTAGCTTCTGACGAGTCATCAACGAAGTGTGTGGTCTGGCGTTGTCCTGGTGGAACACTACACCCTTCCTGTTGGCCAATTCTGGACGCTTCTGGTCGATCGCCTGCTTCAAGCGGTCCAGTTGTTCGCAGTAGATGGTAGAATTAAGCGTCTGGCCATATGGGAGCAGCTCATAGTGGATGATTCCCTTCCAATCCCACCAAACACACAGCAAAACCTTCCTGGCCGTGAATCCCGGCTTGGCCACTGTTTGGGACGATTCACCGGCCTTCGACCACGACCGTTTTCGCTTGACATTGTCGTATGTGATCCATTTTTCGTCGCCAATCACCATCCATTTCAAGAATGGGACGAGTTCGTTCCGTTTCAGCAGCATATGTTGTTGTTGTTGTAGCGACAGAATTCTGCCGAGTTGACAGTCCTTGGCCGGAATAAATCCGGGTCCGTTCCGGTTACGTAGACCCGACTATCGTGGGAACGGCTTCAGCAGCATATCGCAGGCGTTGATTCGGTCCAGAAGGTTTTTTTGCGTCAAATTATGCGGCACCCAAACATCAAACTTTTTTTTGTATCCAGCCTTCTGCAGATGGTTCAAAATGGTTTGGTGACTAACTCCCATCTCCTGGGCGATGTCACGAGATGCCATATGCCGGTCTAACTCGATGTATTCCATGATTTCATCGGTATTTGTCGTCACAGGTCTTCCGCCGGCTGGCTTATCCATGGTGTCGTTTTCACCGGCTCTGAATCGTCGAAACCATTCCTCCGCGGTTCGAAGTGATAGAGTACCATCCCCCAAAACACCATTAATCTCACGGAACGTTTCTCTATAGGATTTGCCTTTAACGAAGGAAAACTTTAAAATAGCGCGAATTTCGGTGTTAGTGAACTCCATGTTTACACGTCTATAACTGTTGAACGCAATATCCAAACTAATCATGCATAGCGTTGTTTTGTAGGTTATGTCAAGACCTTTCAAATTATGTATAGTGTACAGATACGAGCTCTGTAGCGCTTTGTACATAGCCGCGAAATTCAAAAGACAAAAAAGCGGAAGGGAGATATTTGACAACCTTATATTAAATCAAAATCTAAAATAATTTCTTCAAAACACAAATAGTGAACGCCCTTAAATTGACTCTAAGCATATGCCATTAATTCACCATTTAGTTCTAGCAAAATAATTGTAATAGAAGAAAATATGCGAAATCGATATACAACACTGCGTTTTGAGGGCATTGCATACAAAAAAGCTGAAAATGTACATATTCATTTTTTCAGGCGTCTTTTCTGTGTAATAGAAAGAAAATTTTTATAAAAAATACAATTTTCAACTTGTCTTGAGCAAGATTAAACGATAAATCTACTTTAGTTTTATTGTATCTTAATTAGAGAAGATATTAAACAATATTTGCATGATTCTTTGTGCTATTACATATAAACCAAAATCTTGAGAATTTCAACTTTTCCTAATTTTATTAGCGAGTTTTGCAACGTTCGCGAAAAAGTTTAAAACTTGTGAATAGGAATTTGTGCTATATTGTGAAAAGATGAATATAACTGCAGGAGAACCAGTACCGCCTGGTTTTGAAGATGAAATAAATCGTGACCCCCAAATCCAAAAGGCAATTGATCAATACAAAGGCAATGCTCTCGTTGGTCTTGAGTATACACTTGAATTGCACGAAGATGATCGCCGTGAGCCTGGTTACTTTTGTGTGCTTTGTGACAAGCGTGGTGATCCACGCACCATAATGCAACATTGGACATCTTATAATCATCGTCTAAAGTATCTAGAGAAACATTTCCCAACGGCGGTACGTGAATTCAATCCTGTCAAATACAAACCGAATTCACATCAGATTCTTTTAAGTGTTGTGCAAAAATTATCTAAAGCTGTTGAAGATCACCATGGTCGTTTAAAGTTATTGGTTGCCAACAGCGATGACTTTCGTCGTATGAAAGCCAAATTTGTTGGAGAAATTAATAATAAGTTTCATTTTGACGAACGGAATGGTCCTAACTTTCTGGATGTGATCGATCGGTCTCTTTGGGAGCCCAATTCGAATTCAACTACGAACAAGATGGAACAAACATTACAAATAACTATTAAAGCTCCCAAACGTATAAATGAAGATTTTTCATTAAAATCAAACCGCGACGACTTGGACGAAATTTCAAGTGACTCCGATGGGCCATCAAGTTCGAAAAAATTAAAAAAACGGGAACAATCACCTGCTTATCGTGTGTTGCCGCGGGTTCGCCGCTCGCCGCCCTTCGAAGAGGAACGAAGCGAAGATCGTAAGGAAGGCGAAAAGAAGCTTCCCACACCAAAAGAACTATCACTGCAGGCTTCGCATATTGCACAAGAAAAGTATAAGTGGGAAAAATATAAGTGTATGCTTGAAATACAACTTAAACAAATGGAAAAAATTCAACAAGATTATGACAAGAACCCGGAAAAACATCCTTTGTATCCTGATGAATGGAAGAAATTTTGGAATCGCCGTTATAAGGAGTTACAGATGGAAAAGAAAACAGACCCAAATAAATATGATTACAAACCTGAGTGGATTGCTTTTTGGACTGAACGCATGAAGGATTTGTTCAACTCAGAAGTAGAAAAAAAGAAGAAAGAAATTAAAGTTAAACTTGGTCTGCCAGAGGATGCAGAAGAGATGGTCGACCAGTTGAAGGAAAAATACAAAGTACATATTGGTCGAAATGCAGTAGGTATTACATCTGGGGGACATGTTTTAGGACCAAAACTTTCTGATCGTGGCCTGGACATTGCCCCAAAACGTTCCAAAAATTCGGGCGATATTATTAATATAAGTGACGATGAGTCGCCGGTTCGCGCTAGGAATCGCCGTACACGAACACGTTCTCGATCGCATTCTCGTTCGCGACGTTCCCGATCCAAGTCGCCACGTAACTTACGTGGTCGTGATTATAAACGGTCACGTGATCGTTCCTCATCATTGTCAAAAAGTCCCCTTTCGGATGAATACAATGGATATTCCATCCATTCCCACCGTCATCGCCACCCAACACGAAATTTTGTACCATCTATTATTGAAAGTGACTATTTTAGTTCTTCATATCCACCACGCGGAAGATTTTCAGCCGTATCAACTTCAGCCCATTTTGGTGGATCATCACATTATCGCATTCTCGAACCACATCAATATCCAAAATATGAGCGTTCACCATCGCCGAATTCTAAATCTGCACCAGCTAGAGAAGAACCAGAACCTGAAGACAATGGACCACTGACTGTTGTTGCTGTACTGCGTTTGCTTACAGCACTTGAGGACCATCTGGGAAGTCTTGGACCAAAAGTAGTTGATTTATTGGGCAAAGCTTTGGCATTGGAGAAGGTGAAGGCCAATTCTGCAGATGATTTGTTGTTTAATGAGGACCACGTTGTATTTTTTGAAACTATCAAAGAGAAATTAAAAGGTATATTAATCGCGGACGTCCTAGACGATCAACAAAAAATCCGAGCTGTAAAAAAAGCTATAAAAAATATTGCTACTGTAATTCACCAGGTTTCAACAAAAGGTAAGTACCAATCATTTTGAAACAGTAAGTATTAAACCTTTAGTATATATATAATGTATATATATATATATATATATGTATTTATAACATTAAGATATAACATATTCTCTATGGAATATTATTACAATGAATTATTTCATTAAAAAATAGTAAAGCAAATAAAAATATTAAGAAAGTGGCACACATTTGTATACATAGTTAATAATTGTATATGAACTGTGTTCTACAAGTATAACATCTATTTACGTAATAATGTTAAGGTAATATAAAATATTTGTAGAAATAACGCGATGCAATAAGGAAAAGTGAAAATTAAAATTTCCAAACTTATATGTATATAGTTGTGTTATAATAAAAGGTTTTTTAAAAATTTTAAGTTACAACATTTATACAATTTTTAAGCGTTCTACCGTACCACCAATTCAAAATTTTTAGAGTGGTAAATCTCTATATACAATAGAATTTACGAATATACTTAAGTATACTGTTGAATCAGCTTCATTTTATACTCTTACTTAAACGAAGTGAATTGTGAAATACTTTGACCGTCCCGTTTCTTGTTTAAGCAATCGAAGCTTTGCGAAAACGTTTTATTTAAGTTGTTTTTCTTACTTAAAACCGATTCCTCTTGTTTTTACAAACTTCGTGCATTCGTACTAAAGTTTTAAGTGTAAGTGAAAATATTACAATGTGACGAAGAGCAGCCAAATATCCAACATCGGTATATGGGTCTATTGCAAAGAAAAACAAGAGTAAAACTAAAATATTTCATAATATATTATGTCTTCCATTTTGGCATTCAAATATTAAATGATGTTTTTCTGTTTTTAACATCCACTTAGGTAACTCATCAAATATTAATAATACTGAGGTTGCAAAAATTAACAATAACGGTGAATCAGGCATTAAAGTCAACAAATCCGACAGTGTTAGTATTAAAGAATTACCATTCGACCGCCAAGTTATTTCCACCAAATTAGCTGCCGCTTTAGTCTTTCAAGGACGCGAAGATGTATCCACCGAGGATATGGATAAGTTGATTTTCATTTTTCTTTTATTCGTAAAATTATCGAAAGAAAAACGAGAATTGGATGGTAAAGCTTTACAACTTGGAGCTTTGCTAGCTCAATTGGGTATTTATGTACCATCGTCGTCAAAGGCCGCCTCTGCTGCATTGGCTGCTTTACCAGCTATTGTAGACGAGTTGATGGAAAATGAAATGAGTACCGGGAGTGTTCGTGGCCACATCAATGAAAATGACGCTTCAAATGAGCCAGTTGATAAAGATGCAAAGAATGATGGTGGTAACATGTTGGAATCATTAACGGACTCTGACCTACAAACACTATTGCAAAACTTTAAGCACTTGTCGAGTGAGGAGCAACATCATTTGATAGCACATCTAAAGAAATTGGAAACAGCTGATCCATTACGTGTTGAGAAACTAAGAAAATTTGTTAACTTGGCTGACTTAACTGAAGCTGCTTATTCATCACCCTCAGCTAGTACAAGTAAGTCCAATCCCCGAGAAAGGTCGCGCACTCGTGATAGTCGTTTTGATGATTCGCCGGTTACAAGTAATAGCAAAGGTCGTGGTCGCATTTCCGATGATGACGATGACGATCGACGTCGCGGTGCTAGTGTTTCTAATCCAAATAGATTTAGTCTAGATGATGAAGACGAGGATGATGATTATAATGTAGATGATGTGTTTAAGGCGGCATTCCGAAAAGTAAGTGATAATTCACGTCAATCTAAAGCAGAATCTATGCTGAGCCTCGAGCCTAGTGTATCTCGTTCTCAAATGAAGCCGACACCTGTGCAAGCTCCAGCGCCTATTATTCCGGTATCGTCATCACCGAATGCATTGACGTTTAATCGTGCTGGTCTTAATATATCACTGAGCGATACACAAAATTTAATTGCCAATTTGATGGGCTCATTGCAACAGAGTAATTCAAATCAGAAAAATAATAATAAAATGACACACACAAATGATGGCAAAGGACAACAAATACCCACTAGGTCAAATGTACCAGCTCCCCCCAAAGTTCCGAAAAACCAAGCAATGCAACAGCAGCCACACCCATCAGTGCAGTCAACTACTACTATGCCCTACTATCAACAAGGTCAGCCGTCACAGCCGCAAGCATATCCTGGCGGTAGTGGTTACCAAGAGATAGGTGGAATAAATAATCAATCATATTATAATTCAATGGGTTACAATAACAACGGCGGACCTGGTTACCCGGGCTATCAACAATGGGGTATGGGCGATGGTCAACAATTCGGTATGCAAAATTTCATGGGGCAACAACCACAAGGACCACAGCAAAATATGGGTTACAATAATATGTATGGTCAAGGTCCACATTAAATTTCGCAAGCATTTAAAATTCGAATAAGAATAAAAACTTTTACGTCTCTCTCGGTATGTATTTGTGAGAATACCAAACATTTTCCAAAATAAATGAACGAGCTTTGTTATTTCAGGATAGCTTAAAAACTTGGAAAATAAAAACTTTATGTCCAATACGTATCGTAACATTTTACAAATAAAACAACATTGTACAAGTACGAGTTTTATCAAATGTATGTACCATCTATACTTTATGTGTATTGAGATGTGAAATTTTACCTATGGTGGAAGGGGTTAAGGCTTTTGAATACTTATTATCTTACTTATCAGGATTTCGTTAAATGATTAAATTAGAAAACACTAGTTGTAAATTTTGAATTTTTGACCAGAAGAGTTTATGCTTATGCTCGCAATATTAATGTACGTGCCTATAATTTTTTTAATTTGATATAAAAATATGGACCGCATTGCAGCCTAATTCTCGTTTATATTATTCTTTACGAAAAACTCCATTGTCTGAATATTTTATGAGAAACACTGTTTTTAAATCTAATTGCTGGTAGAGCCAGCTTCGGGGTGAAATATATTAATAAATACAGACTTACTTTGGTGTTGACAAATATGGATACGTAGGGTAAGTATTAAATAAGTTCTTATAAATATTATATAAACCTCAAAATTAAAACCAAATTGAAGTTGTGACATCGTAAAATGTTTGTCATATTTCTTTGATAAAATCTGCTGAGACTCTCGATTCTGATGCGAATAATTTTAAATATTATCTGAAGTGACAATTTTAATATCTTGGCAATTTTTGTTTTTAACATATATAAAAGTTGTGAATCGATTTCAACATAGCCTCAAAATTGAACGTGAGGTATCCTAATAAATTTTGTTTTTACTTACCACTTTCAGCTTCTATTACAATTTTGAATGTTTAGCCAGGCATTATATTAAGCACATATTTGTTTATAAGTGGATCACAATAATAATAAATACTGATATAAAGTAGAATATTTATCATTTGTACTTTTAATTTTATATTAAGTACGAATATTGACAATGCAATGCCGTAACAACAAAAGAACTACACAGAAACGTAAAATAGCTTATGCACCTTCACCTGCTGTTGAAGAAGAAGTTGAAAATGTAGAGTATTTGGATGATTGTGTTACAAACGACATCGAAGAAGTTAATGCAAATGCACACAGCAATCTTCCACAGGGAGTGGTTAAAACGGAACCTACGTTTGAGGATACATTTTATCCAAATGCTGTGTACTGCCTTATAGCACTTTACCGTGATAAATATGAAAGGAATATGAATGATACTAAAGAATTTCCAAGTATATATGAAAACGTTTGGGAAGAGATTTCTAAAGATATGCGCGAGAGCTATTTTGAGTTTGATGCTCAACAAGTGCGCCAGAAGTTTACACAGCTTCGTCAACAATATTTTAGTGTTTCCTCCAAAAAGGAAGCAGAAGAATTTGTTTACTTTCAACCACTACACGAAATTTATAATGATAAAATAATTTTAACTACAGTAAATAATGAAAAGCTACCAACACACTCATCACGTAAAAATAAACAAATACGAATATATCGAGATGATGTACTGTTCAACTCCCGTATTGAAACTGAGACTTGTGCTATTGAAGAAAGCCCACAACGCACAGAGGAAATTCCAGTGAATGGTCCCAACAGACAAGTAGATTGTAAGGTAGCTTCAGTAGTTACAAAGAATAAGCGTGAACGAAGCGAATTTAAAGAAATTCCGGTTATAAATTTGGATTATTCAAAAAGAGGGTTTTCTGATCCAGAATCCGACGAGATATCAGATACAAAACGGAAAACAGAAGATTTCAGTGGTGAAAGGCTCAATATGACACTTGCAGATTACAATGAAGCTCAACAACGAAGGCATGATGAAAAAATGAGCTTGTTAAGGCAAACATTTTTATTACAAGAACGAGCTTTGGATATACAGAATAAACTTTTGGAGGAAATTGTTAAGAGAGTCAAATGAACTCCAGGTATCCTACATTTTCATTGCGTAACTATGTAGACTTCTTTTAAATAAATAGATCTCATTAGTATATCGTTGTTTTAACCTTTATTTCCCATAGGGAAGTTGTGAAAAGTCGAAGTCTTGTTGTTTCAGTATTTTCTTCAATTCCCTCTGCAAAAGATCATGTAAACATTCGCCACTATGTTTGTAGATCCATCGACCCAACTGTCCCTCAGTTGATACAAAATCATAACGTTTAGGTCCACTTGTGGGAGAACTGAGCCAAATCTGTTTGTTGGGTGTCTGACGATTTATAACATAAGTGCCATACTCTTGACCAAATTTAACAGTGAGTACGCCATCCTGTAAAATTGAAACAAATTAAGTAAATATTTGATTTGTATATGAAAATATTAAATCAATACTCCATAAGTAACATCGCAGGACGATAAATTTTGAGCATTCTCTGTGAGTTCTTCAAAATAGTCGCACAATGCGTCTAAAGTCTCAGAGCAAACTCGGTCATATGTGTTGCTATCCACAAATGTTGCATTTGTGCCGTTCTTGCTTTCGTTTGTAGACGCAAATGTTCTATGTGTTCGCAGTATTTGAGGAAATGAGGAAATTGTATTTATCAGCCTGGGCGATGTCGCTAGTTGTCTTCCAAAATTTAGTCTATATAAATTTCGTCCATGATTTTGATTTATACAATTCTTTAACGCACGTAAAACTAATAAACTCGACATTCTCTACAACGATTAAATCAGCTGTTCAAGAACTTATAAACGTCAATCGAATGAAATTGTATTAATTATTTGTACTGTTGGCAACACTGCAACTTTAATAAGTGACAGACCATTTTGTAGAATTTTGTGGGTTTTTCTGTGGGCAATACCGACGCCAAAAAAATTCGTGAATTTAAAAATAAAAACTTGTACTCGCTAAAGTTTTTTAGGACGTAATGTCACTACCAAGCAATTACAAACAAATTGCTGTTGGTGCGCCTGCAGGACCGCCAACCCCAGCACCTAGTAGCGGCTCTGGAAGTAGTCGCTCGCGTTCTTCGGGTGCTGGTGGAGGTTCAGATCGAAATAAAGATACTACACCAATTTTTACTCATAGTAACTATGGCAATCCCGCTTTTACTCCTCAGAAGGCGGGCAAATCTTCCAGTTCGAAGAATCAGTCTGAGTCTCGTACGCCTAAACCACCAAAGCCTCCAGAGAAGCCTGTGCTGCCATACATGAGATACTCGAAACGTATTTGGGATAGTGTTAAGGCACAATATCCCGACTTAAAATTATGGGAACTAGGGAAGAAGATTGGTGCAATGTGGAAACAGCTAACAGAATCCGAAAAGCAGGAATTTATTGATGAGTATGAGGCCGATAAAGTTGAATACGAAAAAGCATTAAAAACGTACCACAACTCACCGGCATACCTAACATTTCTCGCTGCTAAGAGCAAAGTTAAAACAGATTCCGATATACATGAGACACCATCTCGATCCAGTGGTAAAAGTCAACAGGAACGAAGGATTGATATACAACCTGCAGAAGACGAAGACGACCAGGATGAGGGATACTCATTCAAGCATGTGGCATATGCCCGCTATTTGCGCAACCATCGGCTTATCAACGAAATATTCTCTGATGCGGTAGTACCGGATGTACGTTCCGTGGTAACTACTCAACGTATGCAAGTATTGAAACGTCAAGTAAGTTCACTTACTATGCATCAAACGAAACTTGAAGCTGAGCTACAACAAATGGAAGAAAAATTTGAGGCCAAAAAACAACGTATGGTAGAATCCAGTGAGGCGTTCCAGGAAGAATTAAAGCGTCACTGTAAACCTGCAGTAGATGAGGACACATTCCAGAAAATGGTAGTAAAAATATACGAGGAAATTAAGCGAGAACGTCAGCGTGTTGATGAACATCCTCCTGGTGGTATTTCTGCTGCGGCTATACCGCATGCGGTGAGCACGTCCAATGAAGATAAAATCGTTTCTCCAACTGTGCAGTCTGGCACTGGTGTTTTGCCATCCTCAGGTAAGTTTAATGACGCATATTAAAACAAATTCGTTCTATTATTTTATCCATATTAAATTTTTTACATTCCAAAATTTTAGTTAAAAAAGATTCAGATATGGCACTCCCAAGTACACAAACACTTCAAACTCCAAGAGATGCGAATGAGTGTGGCAGTAAAACAGAGCCAGAGCCGATGGACATTGAACCAACGCCAAAACCATCAGCACCGTTACCGTCTAGACCAGAGCTACAGAAATCTGTTGGTAAAATGGGAGGGGAATTAATAAAAGAGGCAAATAACAAATCACCAACTTCGTCGAATATAAAATCTGGACAACCCGGTAAAGTACCAACACCAACACCTACACCTACACCACCCCCACAAACGGGTCCAGCAGAAATTGTTGCTGCAAACCATCCTCTTTCATCTGCAGCTGTATCAAATCCACCATCTCAGATAAGTGTACCACCAACACAAACACCACCACCACAAGCTGCAAATCAACAACCGCCCCAACCGCAATCTGCTCAGCAGCCACCGCCAACCCAACCAGTTCAACCAACAATGCCAATGCACCCACATCATCCTCCTCCAACACATACACACCTACCCCCTCATTTACCTCCACATCAATCCATGTCAGCTATGCCCCCTCATGGTGGTTATGGCAGTTACGCTGCCCCAACCGGGCCTACTCGTTCACCATACTATCAACCGCAGTATGGAGCACATCCTGCTCAGCCATACGGACAATATGCTCCTTATCCACACTATCAACAACCTTACGGTCCACCCCCCGGCTCACATTATATAAATGCTCGTCCACCACCACAGCACAACGGTTCGCCTGTTCATTATCCGGAGCATGGTGGACCTGTGTCAGCACAACCACAACAGCCCCACGATGTTTATGGTCAACAACCACCTCATAATCCAGTTTTACCACAACAGCAACCTATAACTGGTACAGTCCCACCTTCAGCTGCTGCAGGATCGGGTAACGCAAGTGGATCAACTCCACCTTCTGGCGTTGGTACTACGGGATCTGATGTTGCCAAAAGTGAGATTGAAAAGAAAGATACTGGCGCTGAGTAAATGAGATAATCTTTGCATGATTAGAAGTTTTATACAATTTTCTCAAACTATTTGCCCATTTTATACTTATGCATAAATACAGAATTTTAGATTGTCTCTAAATGTATTAATATATTCAGCAATAAAGCTGCCGAAAGTAAATATAATATGTATTAATTATTACTTGTTGGGGAAGATTACTTGATGTTGGACCCTTTGGGCTGGAAGTATTTAATTTTACCACACGTTGATTGTATCGCGTTGGGTATAAAATAAAATCGAATAACCATATAAATTAAGGTAAAAAAGTAAGTCTGGCAAGGCTAGATTTTGCCGGCCCTTTTGTTTTAAGCTTCTACCAACGTCATTTTGCTTTTTGCCAAAAGTGCGAGCGCAACACGAGCGACATACCTTCATTCATTCTTCCTATTTTTGTTGAATTTTCATTTCGAAAGTTTTATAATTTCATTAATATTCGCAATTGTAAAAAGCGTTTAAGAATTAAATAATAAAGTGATGTAAATACAAGTATTAGCTTCGCTATTGGTAGATAAAAAGTGAAAAAATTGCAAAGAAAACTCAAAAAAGTGAAAAGTAACCGCCTTTGCCGATTCCACGCCATTCGTTCGTTATTGCAAACGAACGACTCGTCATTTGTGGCCTTTTGCGTTTTTGTTCTTCTGTTTACGGCTTATACGCCGCTCGTCCATTTACGCAGTGTCAAAGACTATCGGAATTTTTTTATTTGTCGAGTTGTTTCTGAACAAATTGCTTTAATATCAACGGGGTTTCCTGAAGGATTAATTAATCAGGTAAGTAGCACAAGCTTCATAGTGGTAAATACTAATGGACTTCATTTGTTACGTGACAATGAAAATGTTGAGATGCCAAATTACCGGCAAATTGAATTGTCATTGTGTTCTTGAAACTGCATTTTCTTTTGTAAGCGCCTCCAAATGAGTCATTGGGTTGGACGCGGAAAGCAAGAAAAGTGCAAAGTGTACAATTTACTATGTTAACAAGGCGAAATTTGTATGAAATGAAATGAAACAATAATGTATTCCAACGGGGCACATCTGCGTGTTCATATAATTACTGCAATAAACTACGAAAAACCCGAATCATCCAAACTTGAAAACATGGAACTAAATTATTTATTAGTTCGTGTGATTTTATGATATGAATCCCGCTGATCCAAGCCAGTCCAGAAACCTAACCTCACTTAGTATTTATTTTATCCTTTATCTAGTCTTCGGAAGTGGGTATATTGATTATTATAACATATTCATAATACGTTAATAGTTTATTATGTGCTTAATATGCGTCAAATGTTTTGTTTGCATTCAATGCATGTATCGATGCATATGTGTGACAATGATTCTCAACGACCTTTATTTTCCCGCTCCAATCTCTGTTGACGTTCTTGTTCGTTTGTAATCCTATCCACCTTTTGTGGTGAAATACAACGGTCTTAAGGTTTTAATTTAGTTTTCGTCGATCATTAGGAAGAAAGTAAAATACGTTTTTTCTTGTCTATTATAAAGCCCTTTTGTATCAAAAAAGTTACAAATTCATTTAAATAGATTATTTCGGTGTTACTTTTAGACAATACTAATTTTATCTAAATTTTATGAGCTATGGTGAATATACATGCATAGAATCCAATTCTGACTACTGAAAGATGAATCTCGGTGCATTCATCTGGTAAATGCATACGCCAACAAGAAAGTTGTTTTTTTTGTCTATCTACATATGGTATATTCCTAAGCATGGGCGTTAAATTTGTGAAAAAGTAGTTTTCAAACGAAACAGTGGAATGCTAAAATAAACACAAAGCAAAAGATTATTCATTCACTTCAAATATTAAACAAAATTATGTATGTACACATGTACATACATATGTGTATATACAAATTTGTGGATGCTGCCCTTTGCTCTGACCACCTGTAGGACCGAAATGTCTCGTTGGTTATAGTTGGCATTCATTTTACTTTGTTAATCTACTGTTCATTGTTATTTTATATTTTCATCTCTTTCGCATTATTATTATTAAAAACTGTGTTTTCTATTTACTTACGTTGTTGACGGCGTAGAGGGAGCCCAAACAGGCTCGAGTTATTTTGTTTGCAATGAGATAAAATCTGTTGTGATGAGGCCCACTAAAACCTCAGGTGTATATATTGCAGCATTTATGTATAAATTGTCAAGACTGTTTTCAATGGGAATGGTGCCAAGGGAAGAGCAATAAATCTGCTACTTATAATTGCTTTAATTTTATTTATTTATGTTTATACTTTTTTTTTGCATCCAGAGTATTAAGTTCTTGCTATTCCTACTTTTTGAACACTTATTGCCGGCTTCGGTTGCTATAGTGCGCTTCCCTTTCCCGCATCAAAATATATTGAAACCAGTTTTGCACGATCTCTGTCTGGTTGCTTGTATTTTTGTTTTTGAAGCTGTGAAGTATATGTATGTGTATACATATGTATGTACATAAAAGTGGGAATGTGTATATCTTTCGAGCTTTTTGGGTGTCTCCACACAATACATAGCATACTTATATCTATGTACAAATGTGTGGTTTTATATTTGGAACCTATATTCCTGTGTGTGTGGGATTCACTTTGTGCAAATGCAGGTAAAAACTAATATTACTTACTGTTATTCGTAGAATTCAGAACCAACACACTTTTAATTCGGAATAATGAAGCCGAACGTCTCAGGTTTTTTTTAAACATTCTTTTATTTGAACTTATGATATCATGCTACGCATAAAGTACATGTACATATGTACATGCATATATTATTATCTTGCAATTATTGACAGCATCTTCGAATACATGTTTGTATAGCCATGAATCTACATACATACTTAAGTAGGTATATAATTGAAGTTCATTATGAACCGGTGACATACTCAAGCCACCTGAACCTTCAGTTCTTTTTTATAAATAAAATATAATTACACTATGTTCTCGTGGATATACAATTTATATGCACATCAACATGTTGTTAAGCGCTAGAGACGATTAGAGAAGAGAAACTTTTAATATAAGAAATAAAATTTCAATGGTCTGTAATGGTTTTGTAGCATGACGCTTTACATAAGATGCTGATTGTACTACAATATATTTGTACTCTAAAAATGCTTAATGTAATGTAATAATGCAGATGATGTATTCAGTATAAATTATTTCTGTATTTAAGCAAAAAGAGAGGAATTTAAAGAGTTTACTGAGATAGATATTATGAAAATGGACGTAGAACTGTGCTGATAATTCACTGGTGATCGTTTGGTACAATTACAAACACCGACAAGATCACCTGAGAATGCGCATTGTATTATTCTCAACTACGTTTGTAACACCACCTTCTTCACGACTACTGAAAACTTTCCACTACAGACACATACATTTACAGATGGGCGCGTGTATGTGCGAATATCTACGCTTGTGTATCTGTAGATAAATATGAAGCTTGCTTTTCGTTGCCTTAGCATGTCGGTTAAGGACAGATGAACGAACCAACATACAAAACAAAAACCACGCAAACACACACTGCAAAGAAAAGCTACCACATAGCATACCTATAGACGGAATACCAGCTCATTTAATAGCTTGAAGCTCGGTTGGGGCTGGGTCGTTAATATTCACACATGCTCATACACAAACATTTGCGCGTATGTGTGTGTGTCTACAAGTGTATGTAGTTTGTGCGAGATTTTAAGCTCCGAGTATGACTTAAAGCGGTTGGAGCGCGCTAAAGCCACATATGTTGAAGGAGAAGTGAATAACACCGCATCCACCGTTGATAGCTCATTGTGTGCTCAATTCACTGAGTTGCCATCAGCTCCTCGCTCGTGGTGGTATCAAATTGCCACGGCTGTCTGTTTCTGTAAGCGATTGTGTAAATGAGAGTGTTGTAGCTTTGGCGTTCTACATACTGCTCTCTTTGAAGCACTCGCTTGTTTCCATTAGTTTTCCAAATCGTCATCATTTTGCATTTGACTTTCGTTTCGAGCAGTTTGTTGTGCATCGAGTTTGTGTTCACGTTTTTTCCGTTCGCCGCTGTTTTCCACACAAGTGCAATTATTTCTTTTATTGCTATTGTGTGCTTGTGTGCGTATAGTATTGTTGTGTGAGTGCTTGCTTTAAGTTTTATTTAACTCATGACAATTGTTAAAATATTATTGTCGTGGTCAAAATTATTCGCATGGAATGTGGTAGTGATGACTTCCTTCCTCCTTTGTCAAATGGCGATAATTTAAATATTTTTTGTGTCGTTAATTTGAATTTTTTTGTATTTCGCTTTGTGAAGTTCATTCTTCGAAAGTTGTCGTGGCGTGTCGTTGCAATCACTTGTTGAGAAAGTGAAAAACAAAAAAAAAAGCAGAAGCGAGTAAGGCCGGCGTGGTTGGTTGCCGCGAAAAAGCATTTTGTAATTTCCAGCAGTGGGCAACGACAGCAATAGATGAGGCAGTGTGGCATTGACTTCTGGGACTTGTCTGCGTACTGATAGTGTATATTTGGCCTGTCTTCGACCCGAGAAGAGTGCCTTTTTAAGTCATACTGTTGCTGTTTGCTGCCGTGCTTAATCATATTTTAGCATACTTGCAAATCTTATTAATTTTTTTAAATTTTTTAGCAGTTTGTTAAAAAATGGAAAAATGCAATTGTTTCTTCCCGTCACCATTTTTAATCGTGAAATGCCTAGTTAAGCTTATTGCTAACCGGAACTCGCTACATTGTTGCAAGTGGCTAAATTAAAGTTAAAATGTGGAAATAAATGGACATAAAAAATTATAAATGCCGTGACCAACAAAGTCGCGTTAAAATAACGGGACGCTCTGATATTTCCCGGTAAAACAGGGTTATTTGTATATACTTTGGTGTCTGGTGAACTGAGTTTTTATTTTTCAATAAAACAAGGGAAAAAATGAAGTGTGTCATAGTTAAATATAAGCCTATTGAAAATCAAAAGCATAATTAGATTTTTTTAGTTTGCAGTAATTGAAATATGTTTGCTACTGTAAGTGCAGCATATCCTTGATTAAAAATTGTGGAAAACACCATTGAAAGCTCCTGTGATATTAACGAAAAATAATAAAAGCTTCACATCAAAATCATAGCAGTTAGCGCTTTAACTTGTAAGTATTACTTCCATACATTTACCATTTATAGATTACACAATATCCTCACACGGATTTGTTGGCCAATGCGTTTCGTAAAGATGTCCTTTGGGGTTAAGACACGGCAACATCTTTAGCAAATTTGTACCTATGATACTATGATTAGGATCGTTAGGCTGCGGAGGATAACGAGAAGCATTCCGCTAACTGCGAATGCATTACATTTTCTTTAAAATATCTGTCTGCTAATGTCTCATATTTGTAAAATACATAACTTATAAACCAAACTTTCGGATGGTTTTGGTTCGATCACAAAAAAGAAGTAAAAGGTGCACGGTGCACTGTCAATACTTCTGGTAGCAAATGCTAGTCTTAGTTCAATATTATATTTCATTCCTTATTATCCTATCATTATTTCATCCATAGAGTTTCTCTCTTCGGCTAGAGAGCGACCATCTAAACCGTTTCGCCGTTTCGATGGAACCCTTGCCACGACCCTTCGCAACTTCGATTTTAATTAAATTTGAATTTTTTTTTTTGTAACTTAAACTCATTTAATAACATCTGGAACAAATATTGTTTTCAGTGTTTTTAAACAATACACGTGCTGCTAGCACTTCTTCAATATTAGCTCAACCTAATTAGGCAAAAAATCAGGTTGAAATAATTTATAATTTTTCCTTA